TAATTTTGACCTCTCTAGAACTTCTCATTTCAGTTTATTAATTTAAGCAGCCAAAAGAGCTACTTTTGAATTTGGAGCTGTCAGATGCTGAAAAGTCCACAGCAGCTGAAATGGTCAGTTCCACCTGCAGAAAGTGTTGAATCAGTTCCAAGTGTAATAGATAAGAAAAAACAGCAATTACAAAGAACAGGGCTAAAGGGCAGTCTGCATCTTCAGTATGTTTTCTGATAACCTACTGTAGCCATGTCATTAGACATAATGCAGAGATTCTAGAAACATTCTCCTTTTTAAAAGCAAATCTTCACAAGCTGCACTAAGATCCCATGGTACAATTTGCTATAGTGGGAAAAAATAAAAAAAAAAAAAAGATTAGTTTGCTCCCAGGGAAGCTCAAGGACTGTGGTACAAACAGAACAAACTGATGGCCCAACCTGTCTGTACCTGCACAACTTAGCAGCTTCAGATGCCATCCCAGTTAGTCCTGTGGGCCCAGAGACTGCCATCCAGTCAAGTTCTGCTGATGGTAGAGGGACAAAGAAGCCAGCAGCTGGTGAGGAGGACAGGGTGGCACGTGGCCTCTGAGAACAGCCAGTGCTGTACTGGCACTATATGGGTGCAAAACTCATGGGAATTGGTGAGAAAGTTCCTCAGCAGCAAAAATAATGGGTCAGTTTAAGATTTCTTTGCTTACTCAGTCCCTGAGAGTTTTAAAGCGCGAGTTGGTTGCTTTTAAATGCTTTTACTGTAGCCCACAAGGGCCTCTCCACCCCCTGTTCAAACATTCACTCTAGTCCACTGTGTTCCCACAAGTGTCGCACCAGGGGTGTTTGGTGCCGTTCTCTCCATCCATCCATCCATCCATACATCCATCCATCCATCCATCCATACATCCACCCACCTACCCATCCATCCATCTGTCCAAAGGCAGAACTCCCCTCCACTGTAGATCCAGGACTCTCCAGCACAGCTCTGTCACTGGCCCAAGGCTGTGATGTGCCTGTGGTGTGAGGGGACATGGCTGTTTCTCCTGGCTGGCCACGCTGTCACCACGCCGTGCTAATAAATGGGTGTGAATTAATGGTGTGCTCTGGAGCTGAACTAAGCATATGGATTTCCTTTACCCAGCCATCTCTACTCCTGCCCTTCTGCTCAGTGTGATAATATGCTACTAAAACCATGCCTGTTCAGGATGCTGTACCAGTGATTTCCCTATCAAATTCTAACAATTTGTGGGATGATATTCCCCTTGGAACAACAGCTGAAGGTGGAAGGCAGGCTAATTGATTCAGGACTCCCCCACTGCCTCTGAGCACAAGCACTTAGCTGTAATTATTGTGAAACAGAAGAATTTACACTGAGTTATAAATTGGTGTCACAGGACTCAGTAAATGGTGTACACTTCACAAAGTGTCAGCTATTCAGAGTATTGTTACGTATTTTTACAGTTTCAGTGCACTTTTCAAACTAATATCTGTAACTAATGCAGTTTCCCATGTTAAGGTGGCATTATGTTCATGCATAGTGTGTAACTATGGAGCAGGTTGGGGTTTTATCCTCAGTATGTCCATGGCTGCTAAATTGGACCAGGGAAGTGATTCTTGCCCTGGACTCAGCACTGGTGAGGCCACACCTCGAGTGCTGTGTCCAGTTCTGGGCCCCTCAGTTCAGGAAGGACATTGAGGGGCTGGAGCAGGTCCAGAGAAGGGCAACGAGGCTGGGGAAGGGACTGGAGCACAAGTCCTATGAGGAGAGGCTGAGGGAGCTGGGGTTGTTTAGCCTGGAGAAGAGGAGGTTCAGGGGAGACCTCCTCACTCTCTACAACTCCCTGACAGGAGGGGGGAGCCAGGGGGGGGTTGGTCTCTTCTCCCAGGAACCAGCAGTGGGAAAAGAGGGCTCGGTCTTAAGCTGTGCCAGGAGAAGTTTAGGTTGGATATTGGGAAGAAATTCTTTACAGAGAGGGTGATCAGACATTGGAATGGGCTGCCCAGGGAAGTGGTGGATTCTCCATCCCTGGAGGTGTTGAAGGTGAGACTGGATGTGGCATCAGTGCCATGGTCTGGGAACCACGGTGGGGTTGGATCAAGGGTTGAACTCCATGATCTCGGAGATCTTTTCCAACCCGGTTGTTTCTATGATTCTGTGAAATAACAACTGTATTTCAGGGCACTGAGGAATCATGGCTTAATATTCATTTCTCCTTTTCTCACTTTAGAACCGGTAAGACCTCACACTGAAAGGTCTTCTCATTAGTGTAAGAGCACCCACTGCAAAAATGAGTGTCAATTTTTACACAGAACAACAGAATGGGTGTAAAGCACTAATCTGTGTGTGATGTGCACTGACAGAATGGCATTTCTCAAGAAAGATGGTTAACTAGGTGACCTCCAGTAGTCCCTTCCACCTGTAACCATTCTATGATTCTTTCAAAAATTTCATGAATGTTTATGCAAACAAGTAAAAATTTGAGTAAGCTTTGAAACTACCATAAATGCCCAAATCTCTTATCAAGCCTCTGCCTTTCTGGTGGAGATTGATGTGGCTTAAAAAGAATTAATTTTCTTCACCTGCAGTGGTAATCAACTTCCACATATAAAGTCATGTAATTGAGTGTCAAACCCTACCCACATTATCCAGGTGATAAAACCAAAAGCATCCATCTGTCCATTCTGGGGCATTCAATGTATTTTAATTTAGGACCATACACGCTTTCAGATGAATGAACTTTCAACCTCTCATTTTTCTGCAGTTTTTTGTTGGTGGATACTGATCAGGGCTGAATGTTATCAACCTTGTCCTTTTCCCAAGCTGTTTGTGGACTTCTGGAAGAGACCAAATGCGGTCTTGTTCTTCTAACTCTGTGTTCTACTTAATCAGAGACATTTCTGAAGTAACAGGAGACTGTTTGGGTGGGATTCAGTTGCCTAAAATGACCCTAAGTGCCTAGTCTTAGATACCCAACTGCTGCTTTGCCTCTCACTGCCACTTTCAAAGAGTGTAAATCATGTAAAGTCACATTAACTGTGAATGTCTCAGATTTTCTAGAGAATCTCAAATGGCACAAAGCATTTACACCTAAGCAACTGAATCCTAACTTAAAAGTGTGAAAAACATTATTTATATATATTCCTTTAGTTATTTGCTGATTATAAAACCTCAATAATTTTAGCCCTCTAACTCTAGTATTAACAGATTTAATTGCTTTAAATTTGTTGTTCCTTGGTTTTATTTCCGAATATTTATAATAAGTGAAATACACTTGGGGTTATCTTCATTATTTCCTATAACAAAGTTACTTATTGTAAGACTGCTAGGAAGCTTGAGTTACTTGCAATTTAACAGCATTTAAATAAAGGAAAATGTCAATTCTGAAGCTCAAGCTGTTTGGGTTTTCTGAAGGTCTGTACATATGGCATGTGACTCGCAGTGGTTGTACTTTATGGTTGGTGTAATTTATATTTTGAAACAGTGAAGCTGTTCTATATGGGAAGTCTTCGTATGTTCATTTTTTAGACTTTATGTTTTAAGATGCTGTTTAGTACCAAACATCTTGGAGTTAATGGAACAATTTTCCATTTTAAAATGGGATTTCTGTGTATTGCATTCTGTACTGTCTATCCATGATCACTTCTGCAAATATTTTAAAATTAAAGTAATGGAATTTAGAAACACTTTACAAGAATGCCAAAGACTTTTCTGGAGTAGCCAGAGGGAAAACTTTTATGCCTTATCTTTAGCCACCAGACATAGAAGTACTTCATCTAGAACACTAATTAAATGAATTCTTTTTCCACAGACTGCAGCAAGTCTAATTAACAAAGTTAAAGGAAAAGTATATTGAGGAGAAACAATAGAACTCTAGCTTGAAAATAAAAGTAAAAAATTCAAAGCTCTCAGGCTACTCTGAGTTCAGCAAATGCACGTGTGTTTTGAGGGTAAATTTTCCTCACTCTTACTAGTTAAAAAAAAATCCCAATGGTTGAGGGCCACTTATTTTTCTCATTGTGTATAAAGATCAAGATGTTTTGAGTCTCTTAGAAGAACAACTCTGAAATACCCACAAGATGATGAGATCAAACTTGCCCTTGCCTAAACTTTTGGATGGGTGCTTACAAGACACACTTGCAAAAATACACAGGTTATTCTGACTGTCAATTTAAATTTATTGCCAAGTGGGAAAATCTTGACTCTCTGCCTTTAACTAAGATGTAGATCTCTCATTTCAGATCCACCCTCAATGCTCATTCACTGAGCACTAATGTGAACCAGTTGAAATGATGTTTCCAGATCCCTGTATTTGTGCTGGAAGCTGGATTAAATGCTAAAGAGTCTTTGTGCTTTTAGGCAATGAGAAGAATACACAGCTAATTATACTGAAAACATAAAATGTGTTAATCTTCCAGCGAGAGCAAAGCAGAAAGGGACCATGTCTGTACTCCTGGTTTTTGCCTGTATCAATATATTGACAGGTGTTGGGAGATGTGACAGAAGCTCTGACTGATGTAGCTGCCCTGACACAAGGCAGCTGCAAATTCTGTTTCCCTTTTCCCCTTGTTTGACATGACTTTTGTCAAGTGGTGGCTTTAGAATACTAGTATAACTAACACAATAGCTTTGCTGGTATAACTTCACCTCTACTGGTCTGCCTTTGATTTGTGCACACAACTGTCAAATGCCTCCATGGTAGAGTCATTCAGAATGCATTATGAATATCCCATAGGTGTAATTTGCTGTTGAAATACCAAATTTTTCTGCTCCTCACAGAAGTGCTGGAATTCTCCATTTTCACAGTATGCAGAAAACCTTATTCTGGTTAAAGCCATGTATTGTATGACTTGGTTAAAAAGCAAACAAAGACTTTTAACTGCTTTTTATGAAATCTAGTTCCAGTGAAACCACTGTTAACTGCAGAGTTTTGATTGTTCTTTCTTTAAACAGTCAACTTCTTTTGTCAGCCAAAGAACAAGTCATTTAATTAATGATCATTTTTATCTCTTTGAAAGGATCCTTTCCGACCATTGGGGTGAAGTCTCTTTCGAGATTCCTGAGGGCGGGATTTTTAAATAGCATCCTGGCCTCACATCCAGTGTCAGGAGGTGGATCTTTACCCCCCAGCATTTCCTCTGGTAGGTATTCCAGCCTATTCCCCCACATCGATTTTTTTCTTTCACCTTCTGCCCCATCTCTCCACACATCGTAGGGAAATAAAATTTGCTATTGGTCAAACAGGGAGATTAAATGTTCCTTCCAATAAAAAGCTGGACCAAAAGGAAATGGAAAAAATTATTATTTTTTGGGAACTAGTCATTTTCCTGAATCAATGTGAAGGAGAAATTGTGAGGGAAACTAATCTGTAGTGAAGTGGCCAACCTAAATATTGGAAGAGCAGGCCTGGTACGCTCCAATCATACATTTCATGAAGCATGTCCATATGCACCAAAGAAAGATAACTTTAAAAATGCCACTGTAAAATCTCAGCATTTATGTGACTCTGTGACTCTTGCCTAAAAATTTACATTCCCTTGCTAAAACAGGGAAGCAAAACAAATTTGGAGAGGGATAACTCAATTGTGTGTTAATACAGCTTTTGAAACCTCTGTAGGCTTTTGTAGTTTCAACTTCTATCTCAAACCACCTCATGATGGCACGAGGGAGCTCAAATGGTTGGCATAAGGTTGAGTGTAGGCCAGGAATGATAACCTCATTCCAGGTAAACAGGCGGCTGTCAGACACTGGCCTGAAACAGGATAGAAGGGCAGATTAGAGGCATCCATCCCAAGAAAGGATGTGTTATCCATTCTCTTCTGGAACCATTAAACACCATCTTCCATCAAAAGAATAAATACATGTATCTCAATTATAGCTATAACTGGATCAGAGTTCAGTTCTGTTCCTTTCCAAACTATATGTTTCTATGTAAAATGAATCTGCACATGGGCTAAATGTCACACTTGTATCTTTCCAGGATATCTCACCTCTAATGTTACTTAAAGTTTTTCTTAAAGAAGAAAAATATGGTAAAAGCAGGGAGAAGATTGGAAAACTGTTATTGACTTGCTATACAAAAGAAACAATTTTACTTCTCTATACCCCATTTTATTTATTGTAATATTTTAGGCCTCACTAATACAAGATGACTATTTTCTTTTTTTTTTCAATTGGTATTATTTCTTTTTTTACTTTCTTTCTTTGAATAGAAGCTTCTCAGCAGTTTTGATGTCTTTTCTAATGACCGTTTGGGTTTCTTTTGTTGACAGTTTTCAAAACCCTTTCCATATTTGTTTCTCCATGGGATATCTCTGAGTGTTTAATGGCCCTTAGCTATTTTGCAGGTATCTGTAACCATACATCAGTGTCAAAGAGGAAATACTGGATGCCCCATAAAATTCTCTGTTTTGAGCATAGTGTTGTGTAGAGCATCCCACTGATTCTGTTAAATTAGAAATGGCCTAACTGCACTCATGAACTGGCTTCTCAACTACGTACCTACCTACAAGTTTACTTTGTAAGGCCCTCAGGACTGGTTTTTTCTGAGTGCTTGCAAAGCTTTTTATCACATTTATTGGACTTAAATCAAAACTCTTAAATGTGGTTTGTTTAGTAAAACTCATTCATAAGGCCTTGCTGTTCAATGTCTTTTACTAATAATTTTGATTCAGTCTGATGAAACACTGAAGACAGGAAAAAATGGAAATGCTACTACAGGATGTGTAACCTGTATCTAGCAAGCCAATGGAAATAAATGTTATTATTTGATCATAACAACAACAAAAAAAGAAAATAAAAAAAAACCCGAGCCAAGCAGCAACCCCATAGAAAGGGAGAGACTCCCACCTTCTGGAAAGTGAGGATTGTCACATAGTTGAAAGCCAGTAAAGAACTGGGATAAATCCAATGGATGAGACGTGTTCTTGTGCATGGTGGGGGATTAGGTGGCATCAAACTCTGCAGTGCAAGTCAGAAATTGTTCTTAACAGGTGTATCTTACCTGTAGTGTTGCTGTTTAAGTCTTCTTTTTTACTTCATCATACTTGTATCTACATTAAGCACAATCTTAATTCTGAATTGCCTCTCTTGTATCAGAGATGACCAGAGGAAGACATTGCCATTTTGTGATAACTCTCTAGACTGCTAAAACCAGCTTTGCTTTACCTGTGGGCAAAAAACATTCACTGCATTTTCTGAAAACAAAACCAAAAGCCCAAACAAACAAACGAACAAAAACCCACACCAAAAACAAACAAACAAAGAAAAAACCCCAAACCAACTCAAGTCTGCACAAGGGGGTACTGATGTGGGATGCAAGAGAGTCAGAATTGAATCTCTTACTGTGCATGATTCAGTGGTAAATATGTGTTCATCACTGAATCCTTAATCACTTAAGTACAGAGAAGGAAAGGATGTATTCTTTGTTCCTTTGTATTGAAAAACACTGCACTGAACACCTGACCTCTTCTCTGGAACAGAGACATCCAGAGCAACAGTGCTCCAAGAAGGGATTTAAGCAGTGATATCTCTGTTCACATGGATGAGAGAGATAGTTAAGGATCTCTCTCTAGGCCTTAGAGAGCCAAAGGGTTTGGCTCTTAAAACAGCAGCAGGCACGCAAAATCAGCTGCCCATCGCAGTGCTGATGCTGTCTCAGGGTGTCCCTCTCTCATTAAAAGTGAGAGGACTGTTTGTGTGTCAGGTCTGGAGGGCAGCACACCCCACTGCTGCCTTTGATGGCGCAGTGACCCCACCCCCATTATCTGAGATGAGGGGCTCATGTTGGACCGTAGGTTTCAGAGCCTAACAGGAGTATTAACATTTAACAACTGCTGCATTAGAACCTAATGGCATCAATGTGTAAGATTTCAGTTAATTTAACTACATGGGAGACTTAAAATGCTGCATTATTCTGCTATTAGGGTCGTTGGGAACAAAGATAATGAGATGCTTTTTATTTACCAAAACTTTTAAGTCAAGCTAAGTGGCACATTGCCTTCCAAATACTCAGAAAACTTATTTCTTACTAAAGACAAAATGCTTTTACATCTTTTTTTCTGCAAAATTCACCACAGAGGTTTCAGTGAAACACAGAACTACACTGGAAAGCTGATATAATTGAGTATCTGGAAAACAGTTTGGCAGGGCAATGCAGCTGTTGGTTTCATTTTTTCCCTTTCTCCTTCTCACTCAGTAGTTGAGGGGAGTGTATCTCTTTTACCATTGCACTGACAGCTCGTGCTCAGTTTTATGTGATTTGGTGTCTACAGAGGTTCTCTTATGCAAAAAGAGAACTTAAAGATTAGCCAATTTAAGGATTAATTTATGCTGCTGGGATGGGGCATTACATCTTTCTGCATAAATAGATTACCTTAAATGGAGGGTTTTTTAAGCCTAGGCATAACTGCTAAAGCAACAGTGCTTCTATTTGATAGTTACATTGAAAGTCTGTCACTGCTATACAGCTGTTTCACTAGAAGCAAAGCTTTCAGCAGGCCTCCAAAATACATCCTGGATTTTTACAAAAACAAGCCCATTTCCAGACAATAGCTTCCTTTTGATTTACCCATCATTTCTGTTACAAATTACTTAGTTTCTAGTTATTCCACCTGTTAGCAGTACAAATTCACATGACTTAGTTGATGCAGGACTACAATGACAGACGGATAATAAGTACTCTTTTGTCAAGTGATAACCTTGAATATATTAAATATATTAAATATATTAAATAGAATTCTTAAACCACTTAGCAGGTTACACTCATCATCATAAATACACTGGCATAAATACACTGGCATATGGAAGCTTAGCCCTTCCTGTTGCACACACACACACGAACATATGTTGTGAAAACCTAAATGATAAATTGCAATTGCTGCATCTATTTCCTCAAGTTCCAGCTCAGCACAGTGTTCTCTGCTCCATTTTGAGGAAATTCTTAGGTTACTACTCTTGCTGTGTACTCCTGCAGCTCCTGATTAAAGTGATGTGGAACGGGTTTGTTGTGTAAATGCCTGCCCACGTTGCCTGGCAGAAGTTACAGACAGAAAACTTCACGGTGTGCTGCTGTCTTTGAAGAGCCAGACAGGTTGTTAAGCTTGCTGAGCTGGAAAGAAAGGAAGGGACAGCAAATACTTCTCTTACTGTTCCTTTCAAGCTAAACTCCTTTCCTGAGGTTTTTTTTTTATTGACAAGAACCAGAGATGAGTGTCAGGCTCATAGTTAAAAACTATGGAAAAGTTCCTGTTAAGCAAACCTCCCAGATCCCTTCATGCTGTTCAGCATTCAAACTGCATTGGCAGGAAAGGGGGAAAAACCATCAAAATTATTCTTGCCATATTCATGACCATCATTGCTTGCTCTGATCTCCCCATGGTCAGCAGCTGGACCCTTGTTCCCTGTTTCATTCACAGTGCACCTCTCTGAATCTTCCGTGAAAGTATCCTGAAGTCACCTTTTTAATGAAGTATGAGCATCAGTTATTTCCTACCACTTAATTTGCAATGGTTAATTATCCAGGAAAAATGGAAGCAAAAAAAAAATTAGGCTTGATAAAACAATACACCCTTGTGAACCTTAAAAAATATATTGCATGCAAGAAATGAGGATGCACTTACTTTCCAGAAACGTAGAATTGATACAGAACAGTTTACTCACTCCTGTCTTGGACTAGATAATAACAGGACTTCTCATAAAGTACATTATACAGAGAATATTCCTTTCTCAGTACTTTACTGCCTGGTTATTTGTGGCTTGTTGTATAACATAGATTGTAATGTTTGCATTTATTCCAGGGAGCTCCTCAAAAAACTCAGAGATAACTGTAGAGTACTAAACCAGATGATTATGAGTTTTGTCCAAAATTAATGTTTTATTACAATTTCCAGGTGCACCTGAGTGAGCCCATTATTCTTGATATTGTATAAACTGACATTTGAAAGAATTGTATTGACAGACTCTTATTGAATGAAATTACTCAACAAGAACCATCAAGGAGCAATTGTACGTGGTGAAATTCAACTATAATTATGATACTCCAATAATGAGAAAAGAAACTTTTTTTCCAGTTAATGCATTTTTCCCCTACTCTGAATTCCAGCACCTACACTGCTGTATTTGTCGTTAAATGAAAATTGCT